ATATGTCATTGTTTTTTGTCTTGATGCGTGGGCGAAATGATGCAATATTAAAATTTCCCTTCAATTATAAAGTTACATTTTGTTTGTATGATCAAACTCCTGACCAAAGACATATTATCGATTCTTTTCGGCCAGATATTCGATCAAGTAGTTTCCAGAGACCACGATCAGAAATGAATATTGCTAGTGGTATACCTAAATTCTTTCCATTATCAATGATTCAACAAGAAGGTAATCCATATGTTCGAGATGATACAATGTTTATTAAAATCATGATTGATTTTGGTGAGATGCCGAAAACATTATTGCCATATGCATTGAGTCTCAATCCTGGATTACCAACAAATGTTCAACAATACATAATCAAACAAGAAATAGAAAGAAGGGCTCAACCGCAAACTTTAGAGCAACACTTAACAACAAACTAATAAGTATGAATTGAGCCGCATTTCGAATTAAAATGTAAACCAGATTACTTCATTTTTTCTTTTGTTTCTTTCTATCAGATAGTTAAACCAGATATATTAGTGTATAACACTCAAGTTATAATCTACATCTATTAAGTATCAGAATGAACAATAGTAATATTTCTGTTCCTTTTTATATACCATATATGATTTTTTTTTTCGTATCGTTTAATTCTTTGTTTATACTTTAATTAAAAGAAAATAAAATCAAGAAATAAATTAAAACTTAAATAAATCAATTCTATATCATAATAAATAATGTTACGGAATCTATCAATGTCTATGTAGAAAAATTTTGCTTTATGTTTATTTAAATTTTAATATGATTGAAATAATAGGAAACGAACTTCTTGTGCGATTTTAAAGTCAAATTGATGCACGCTTTGATTATGTCTGCAATTGTTTATCAAATTTTTTTTCATACATCGATTTAGCGTTGAAAAGAAACGTTTTTCATTAATTACTCATCATGATCGATTAAATACCTACGAAATATGAAAAACAGTGTTTTAAATCTGACATCTATACAATTAATAATACAATATTATGAAAATAATTGATATCATTTAATAGAGAAAGATATCAGTTTGTTAACTAATCTAAATAATTAGATGAACGTTAATTTGTTCAATCTTTTGTTTTGATTTCGTATATTGCTTTAACGAAAAAGTAATGTATCTGTCGACTTTGTCTCAGATAACTTTGTCAACAAAGATGTTCTATTATTGAAAATAGTTAATTCGAAGAAAACAATAGGAAAAGCAAAACTTCTAAGGTGGACTGAGTTCATGGAAAAGTTTTACGATCCCTTAGCGACGAAAAAGCATTGTCTTCTCCTGCTTTCTTCTGAGACGAAAACAAGTAAACGTTACTTTTGAGTGACGACAATAATATGAAGTGGTATGATCATTTAAAAAAAAATGTCTCCACTCTTTTCTCAAGACTAAAATAAAGATCTTTTTATAATAAAAATCAAGTAAACACTCAATTCGTATTCACAAAAAATAACCTCTTGCCATAGTTTTATGTGAATGTAAGAAAGTGTTACGAAATCGGATGATTTTGCACCATATGAATTAGAAATTAGAGATTTCTCTAAGTGCTGAGCCACTCCAAAAGAATTCAAGCTGTATTTTCAATGTCAAGAAACGTCGATTGTTCACTTCAATTTTTCCTAACCACGATCTACAAAGCAGCTGAAAACCCGTTTTATCACTCCCTTGTCAAGAACCTAGCTATGTATCAGTAAATTATGAGTCGTTTTCAAGGTTATTTCACGAGTACTTGATGAATTATGATCACTGTCATGAGCATAACATCAGCTAGAAGACTAGATGAATTCAGTGTACATATACTACTTATCTAGAATGAAATCCAAATTGTGAACTAACTAAAGTGATCTCTAAGAGCAAGATTAGTGTGAATTGTCAAATATAGAAATAAGATTTATTTTTTGTTTTAATATATATATATATATGGAAATTTTCGATCTTAAATGATCATTACCAACCTACACCAGGACAAATAACAGATGTTACCAACAAAAAGACATACAAGAAGAATAGAAATGGTGATGAAATAGTTTAAATATCTATGTAAACATCATATTCTTTAGCATTCTAACCTATGGAATCAGGTGTAAATTTTGTATGTATCATAGATAATTGTATAAATATATTATACAACATAAGCTACGACCGACTCTAACGAAAGTTAGTCAATCGACGATCGTCAATTTGGGTAGTTTTTAAATATGTTGTAGGGTCAAGTATTTGATGAATTTCAACGGAAACAGTTTGACAAAATACTATTTTGTTCTCAAGGTATTTAAATTTTTCTGAGAGCATCATCATTAAAAAAATGGCATTTTTTGCTCTTTTTTTCCTGAGATATACATCTGGTTAAGTATGCATCAATTTCGCTTGAAATTTTTACTATAAAATCATGTTAAGTTGGGATATTCCTCATGAAAAAACGAGCTCAAACGGATGAATCGTCGATGAGTTGACTTATACTACCTAGTACATGACAAAGTTGTCATTTTTCGGTGTTTTTTTTTAAATATATCCTTATCGCAAGAACTAATCATGTTAGGAAGTTTTAGTTTCAGCTACAAAAATGTCTAGGTAGTGTCTCCGGTTTACAGGACTATGACTGATAAAATGATTTTTACTAAAATCATGCTTTAAGTGAGGTCTATTCCAAGAAAAGTAAGGTCTGTATATTTTTAAACTACACATGCGGTACTACAAAACTATACAAGAACTAATTTGGGACGTTACAGAAAGACATACGATATCTTATCGGTAGTGAAACTCAACAATGACCTTATCTACCTTTAAATCATCAAGATTTGCTTTAGAATTTGATTGACATATATAACTTCTAATAGTCAGGTAATCAAAGTTTCGGTTTTCCATACAGAGAAGCACAAAATTGTATTGTGAGTGGTCAGTTTCATAAAACCATGATAATCTTCGTTCCATAGGAAAAATCATGGATCGGGTATAGTAGAAGACTTCTCTCTTTTAACTGACTACTTTCTTGGATAATTGAAACTCAAATTAGTATATTTACATCAAAATATTACTAATTTATGGATCCTTGTCTAACTAAAAATTATGAAAATAAATGAGACACAATAGAAGAAAGCCTTTCGCTCCTCCTGAATTTTTTTTATGGCTGAAGATAAGAATAGACCCTGAATTTTCTACTATGCAGAAAGAATTTAATTGAAAATTATCTTATACCATGAAGTTTTAGTACGTCTAAAGAAAATCTACTATGTAAAGTCTATTAGATGTCTCTGTCTATTTGAATATACTTTTCGTCTTATTTATCAGTGGTGTATAGACTATGGACTATTTTCTTTTTCTTTATTCTCGTGTATTCTTTACTGGTATATAGTCTCATTTTATTCTCTATCGTTCTACACAATGCCTGCTATTACAAAGGATAAATATGTTACACGTGTTCAAACACCAGCTCGGTAAAAATTATGCTTCTTAAAAACCGCATTATTCTTTCCTAATTTATCCTCTATATAGTATTCATCCAAGATCTTTGGGTCCTAATGATGTTAAACGACTTGGTCCTAGTCAACGAATAAATGTAAAACGTACACAAACACAATGTAAAAATATTTTTCTTTTATTGATTTAAATAATAAAATTAATTTATTTAGCAATTCAAACTCAAACTGTACTTGCATGTGTTATTCTAAATAATGCATACAAACAAATAGATGAAGCAACACAAACTGTAATTTATGACATATAATAGATGTTTACATTTAGAATTTTTTTTTTTTGTTTAGAATGATGATATTGATAATGATAATCGAAGTGCAGTTAGCGGCATTGCTTCACGTTTAATCAAATTTTTCGTATGTAAAAGTTTAGATTTAGATATAAATAATTTATTTAATTAATCTTTAGGGTGGAAAGATCGTCGCATTAATGAAATTATTTAATGATATGAAATAGAGATTTCTTAATAAAAACTATATATTTATTTTCTTTTCTATTTATTTATTTATTTCTATTAAATAAAAGATAATATAATTCACTTATGATATTAATTTTAAAGAAAAGTATTGAAAATAATTTTAGTCTAAATGAATTTCTTCTTCGTTCTTGACTATATTTGTATGCTTTCAAAAATGATGAATAACAATAATAAGGTTTAAATATAAGGTATGTTCTAATTTAACTGTCGATGAAATATGAAATATAAGTTTTAAAATTTTTACCAAAGGATTCGATGAAAAATTAGAACGTTAATAGTTTTTTTCGTTTGTGCACAAATATAAATTCATTTATTTAAAAAAAGACGATACCAAAAAACATATATTTAATCGTTCAATAAAGGAGGTTTTTTTCGAAAAATATAATCAATTCATAACTTGATCGAAAATCTCATAAGAAAATCGTTTCGAATGATGGAAGACATTTTACGTGAGACTTGCTTTATCAGGTAAAACTTATTGCAAATAAAGATATAATACATTTCTTTCTTCTGAACTATCTTGAATAAATAATATTGCTCAGACTTGTTCTTGACAATTCATAAAATTTGGTGGCTAGCAGCACTGATCTTTCAAGCATATTTGCATTTCTGAGTGCCCATATTAATTTTTCTAGAATATTAGAAAATGCATTTGTGACAGTTAATTTTTTTTCTTTTCATTGACAAAGTCAGAAACACAGAGTGATTATGAGATGAGCACTCTCAGAATGTAGTATTCAGAGAGTCAGCAGGTAAAAAATATTAATTAGTTCAGTAGAATAATGCTGTCTTATATTGAAAGCATCTTTCTCGATATTTATTTCGAATTCCATGTAATGACTTTATACATCGTTTTTCACAAAGCCAGTATTTAAAAAAAAAAAAGAAAGATAATATATGCTGAAATAAGATCATTGAGTTCAGACAGTTTCATTAATAAATCTCGTGAAGATCAGTTCAAGCATATTGATTAGAAAAATCAGTCTTTGTTTTTTTTCTAAAAAAAAATGTCTTAGAATATAAATATTTTTTTTTATAATTCATGTTATATTAACAACAAATCAGAAAAAAAAAGAATAAATAAGAAAAATATCAGCACCAGAATATATGTATATATACGAGATTCAACAAATAGAGAAAAAAAAAACAAAAAAGATTTTCGTTTTCTGTTTTTTTTTTTTTTAGGAAGTCATTGGTTGAAATCGTTGCATATAAAAATGACAATTAGAACAATAAGCTCCAATTTGATTATTTTTTGAACAACGTTTATGACAAAGTGTACATTCACTTAAACCAATTGGAATATCATTTGATAATGATGGTGTATCAGAATCAGAATCTGGTGGTGTTGTTGTTGTTTGTTGTTGATGAATTTTTCTTAAAAATGAATGAATTAAATGTTCTGATGGTGGTTCATCTGTATCATCACATGTTGGAACAATTAATGCAACATTATCAGAAAATTTAACATTCTTTTTTGGACGTGAAATTTTTGATGTTGATGAAAGTATTGATGTTATTCTTGATATATTATTATCATAAATAATTTCATTTTTTTTAATATTTTTTTCTACAGGTTTAAATGTTGATGTTAAAGAATTATTTAATGGATAAAATTGTTTTAAATTTTCTTGTTCTTCTATTTGTCGTTTTTGTAATGAACGTATTCTTAGTAATAAACTGTTCTTTTTTGTTCGTGCATATATTGATATACCATTATCATGATTATCATTCATATTAAGAATTTGTTCAACAAGCAATAAAGCTTGTTGACATGATTCTAATGCTGAAGTATAATTACTTGTACTTTCATATTTTAATGATTCTTCAAAATAATGTTCAATTGTTGCATATGACATATCAAGATGACTATCATCTAAAGATAATATATTTTTTCTTACAAGAAAAAAAATATAATGAATAGTTTTAAAACAAAAGCTACTTCAGGAATTCTGAGATGTTCGATTAGAAAAATATAAACAAAGTAAAAAACAAAAAATAACGGAAATCACCAAAAATTCTTAGAAAAAAAAAGTGACATGTCTAATAAAACATCGTATTATTTGTGTAAGATTTGACCTCGAGTTATCCTTGCCATTCATCCATTATTGTAATTCTGATGGAAACAGACTTATTTTGAGAGGAGGCTTGGGATTAATAAAGATGTAAGGATTGATTCTGATGAGACAAAAACCTTACGAACAAAAAGCTATATTCATAATTATTACCGTTAAAAGAGCTTGAACAATCGAAAAGTTATTAGTTTTATAACACAGACATACATTTATCACAAAGTTGCATGTCAAATTTTGTATAGGTATTTTTTTTTAATGTAGAAATAAATAGTTTCAATTCAACAAACAACTATACGTAATTAAACATTTCAGTTTTTTTCAAAATTATGACTTGTATACTATTATTAAAGACTAGAATAATACATACATATTTAACATCTATTCTATTGTTATATAATCATATATTTAAAAATCTACGCCTACTCTTATTTTGTCTAACTTGAGATACTTCTATCTATTGATGTTGAGAATATAAAATTTTACTTACTCATAATACGTTCGGTTTGTTTAATTAAACTATCCATAATTGTTTGTTCATTTTCAATAAGACTATCTCTTGGACTTCCATCACTTGATTCATCATTTATTCCACTACTTAAACCTGAATCTCCACTTGATGATGTATCTTCACGTTGCTGTTGTTGTTGTTGTTGTGTTGTTATTGGATAATTTCGATGTCGAATATTAATAATTGGTGATGATGTTGATGATGATGATATAGATGTTGTATCCGATAATGTTTCTTTTTTTAATAATTGTTGTTGCATAACTTTAACAACCTTTTCTTGATTAATATATGAATTATTTATTGTTGTTGATTTCGGCATAAATAACATTGATGAATTAAGTGTAGCAAATGATGATATATTATGAAGATTTTCTAATGTATATGATTCTTGTTTTTTAGTTGTCATTGAATTTTTAATATTATTTGATAAAATAGTTTGTTCTAAACGTTTTTCGTCAGGTATAACTATAAATATAAGACGCAATCGGTGGGTATTATATTCTAATCATGCACAATAAATGACAAGAAGAAGAAGAAAAAGAGAGAGAGAAGAACGAAACAAATACATTTACTGTTCATCACTGTTCCTAGTTTCTTTTCTTTTTCTTCTTCTCATCGTATACACTCGAACGGAGGTAACCACAATACAGATACTCATAAAAGAACAAAAAGTAATCATCAGGCGAGGTCTACAATTGCGATTGTGTACACAGAACAGCCTGCACTAGTTATGATGCAATACATGGACAAAAAAAATTGAATAATATATATATGTATGTATATATATATATATATATGTATAAGTAGTAATTTAAAGTCTTTCTCTCATTATCACTAATCAAAAATACTTACAATTCGTAGTTTTCGTTTGAATCACCGTTCGTTTAAGTAATTGACTTATATCAACTGGATTTCGATCAGGATTTGCATAAATAAAAAGAAATGGTTGAAGATGAAAATCAATACATTTTCTTGTGACAGCATTCCAATCGTTTAATACAATAATATTTCCATCGAAACAAAATAACCATTTCAATGTTGTATAATCATAAGAAAAAAATACTTCAATTGTACCACCATAAAAACATATAAGACCAATTAAATTAAGTTTTTTAATACGAGCATCATTTATAGTTACATCATAAAATAACTAAAAGAAAAATAATTACTATTGAATTAAAAATAAAACATTGTATTTAATCTACTTCATGTAAATTGATAAATGGATCAATAGTTGAAATAAGATCTTCTACATCACTTGTTGTACAATGAGATAAAGTCCAATCAATAGCAATAGAAACTATAAATTCAAACAAAACAAAACAAAAAAAAATCAAAATAATATAAATTTAATTGATTAGCATACTTAAATCTGGAACATTAGTTAATAATAAAACATTTCGTTGTTGATGTCCACAATTATTAATAGAACAAATTTGTTGATCAAATTCAAATTGACTTGTTGATGCAAGATAAAGAAGTTGTGCAAATGATTTGGATAAACGTTTTGTTTCAATTTTTTTTACTAGTTGACTAAGAAAAACAAAAAAAGGCAAGACAAAGATTTTTCACTATTACTCTTTCAAATCTTAACATATACTTACCATAAAATAGTTGCATCAACTTGATAAACTGCTCGAGTAAATATCATTGCATTATCAATATTTTGTTGATGTTGAGAACGACAGTGGACATTGCTACATCGACACTATATTTATATAAATATATAATGAATAGAAAAAAGTTAACCGAAGAAAGATTATACATACCACTTGTAAAAGATTCATCAGATGAACATTATTTTAACATAACAAGAAAAAAAAATAAGATCTGGAATAAGATAAAGAATAATCATTTCTTTTCTTCTTTTTTTTTTTTATATCAAATCTTAATACTGACTACTACCACTAAATCAACACATACATACATACATGCAAACGGATATATCACCCGAGCATTTAATCGGAGAAGAGAACGATTCATCCATACGCAAAGGTTAACATTGGTTGACCGTCAATGTTCAACGAATTTTTTTCTTCTTCTCTATGTTCTTACCTTCGGACCAACGCGATGTGTATTGAATACAGGTATGTGGACACAAATGTTTATAAAGAAAAGACAGAAGAAAAAAAGAAAATTTTTGAACACAAGCCAAGAAAAATACGACCATAACAAGAGAAAGTGTATGTCACTCACTCATTCCCTCTCTTTCTCGATTAAATATTGAACACATATATGATGTGAACGACGGATATTGTTCAGGTGCACATAGACATACATATATATATATATACTCACTCACTTTCTTTTTTTTTCCGTTATTATTATTATTGACGTGGTTCAAAGAGAAAGGTGTAAATTATACGCATGAAGAAGCTGAAAAAAACATAATGAT